CATAGTGGTGTTTTTCTTTTTTCGGATATGATTGAATGGTTAAAATCTGAATTTGAAGATGATCCTGTTGTTGAATCAAAACCAAAAACAACAGCTTCTATTGCTAATGCTATGATACGAAAAGAACGACAATTACAAGAAGCTGCTGCTGCTGCTCTTAGTAATACTTCTTTTAGTATTGAACAAACAAAAACTGTTGAATCAGTTGCAACAATATCTGTTGATAATGCATTAACATCAACAAATGAAAATACATGTTTACCTGAAATTAAAATTGAAAGTGAAATAATAACTATAGTTGATGTTAAAACAGATGATGAAAATTTAAATGTATTAAATACAATGGAAAAATTAACTGTAATGGAAGATGAAACAAATTTATCTAGTGTTCAAAGTCAAAATTCGCTTAATCAATATGATAATGTTAATGATCTTATTGATACAATTTGATTTTTTTTTCTTCTTTTTTTTTTTTTTTTTTTTCATTTTAAATTTTAAGTAGACATTTGTTTTTTGTTTCTTTTAGTTGGAATGACTACTGTGTGGTATTATTATGCTGCTTTCATTTTGTTTCATTGTATTTGACAAAATAAAACAAAAAAAAAAAAAACTTAGAATAATAAAAAAGAACAAATAAGCAATAGATTTATTGAAATTCTAATATGAAAAACAAAGAGAAATTTTTACAATTATATTTAAGATTCATCAAAACATGCACATTCTCTTCTTCTACATCGATCATGTAAATCAGATTTAAAACATTTAAATAAAATTGTCCATATACGTTCAACAACATGACCAAATATTGGATTATCTGGTGTTGATTTAAAGATCAAAGAACGTAAATCACGATGAAGCCAATGTGAACTATTAGCCTTTAAATACAAAAAATAAGAAAGTACAACTTATAACAAATAAACAAAAAAACATCAATGAACCTACAGTAATAAGATCATAGATATATTTATATACACTTAAAGGTCGATTTTGTATTCGTTTACTACTTACAAGAAATTGACCTCGAAAAGCAACCTAAATGATTTTTTTTTTTGTTTTTTAATTTTAATTTCATCGATCAATGTAATAATTATTTTAATTAAACTTACTGCTTGTCCACCTGGTGGACATAAACTTTGTTCAAGCATTGCCCATAATTGAGACATTCTTGGAAAATTACCTGTTATATGTGAATCACAATCATAATTTGATATCATAATATTAGTAACAAGTGGCATATATCCAACTGATGAATTAAATTGTTTTTCTAATCGATCAAAATACCAATCAGCTAAACCTCTATCAGTTATACCTTCAACACCAGCTTGTGAAAAAAGTGTATGATTAGCAATAATATGATAATTATTAATTATATGATAAAGATAAGTTCCACCTTCTCGTCCTAAATTAGGTAATAATTGTATAATATCTGCGTCTAAAAGTAATTTTAAAACTTGATTATTAATATTAGAATTTTTATTATAGACAATAACACGTGGATTAAGTTTTTCTATATTGGAAATATTTTTTAAATAACGAATATATTGTGCAACAATATCAATATCTTCAGAATAATAACTTAAAACAATATCAAATTGTCTTTGTGATAAAATTGGATCATTATAAAAATTTAATTCATTTGTTTTTAAATATAATAATTTAGAATTTTTATTTGAATATTTAAATCTATTTTGCCATTTATTAATATTTATAATAATATCAATCAATATAATGACTAGACAAATAATGAATAAAATAATTTGTTTTGTATTAAATTTAAACCATAGATATGGTATAATTGATCGAATTTTTATTCTCATCCCTTAATGAATAATAAAGGAAAAAAAAATCAAGAAATATAACAAAAATTTCTTCTACACTTATTCGTATAAATACTTAAGAACAGCTAAAAAAAAGGTTTTTCCGGTTCAATTAAAAGAAAAAAAGAACGAAACTGATGGACGATATCGATATGTAAATGAGGTCATTAAAGTAAATGAAGAATATACGAGTTTAGCATTATAGACTGTCACTAATAGAACAAGAAAAATATCAAAAAATAACATGATAAATTTCTATATAATTTTGATTTTTCTAAAGATCAATAACAAAGAAAATGACCGGTTTTGACCAAAAGATCTTATAATAATTTTCATAACTTTCAAAACAAAATTATCATCAAATAAATATAATCCTAATTAAGCTAAACATTAATTTTCAAATATATATATATATATATTAAATTATTAAGAACTAGAAGATGAGCATGCAATTTATGTACACGTTACCCTATTTGTAATTATAAATTTACTCGATTATAATTATTCAAAAATGTCATGAAAAGTGTTATTCACAACTTGGAAGATTGCTAAAGAGTAGAAGAATGCATTATATAGAAAAAAAAAGAGACACGCAACATAGAAAAGAAGAACGACGGATGAAAAGATGAAAAAAAAAAAAAGATATAAAGTAAGATAATAATGGAAAAAGATTATTTTTCTAGTCAGAGTTTATAACATAGTGTTTCTCATCTTGACGAGGACGGAAGAGAACGCATCCATCTTTTAAACGCTTGTTTTTTTCTATGAATGTATTTTCTCATGCAAAGAGCCTTTATTAAAATTGAAAGTTTCTTTTTCATTTTATCTCATAGTTTGTAGCTAAGAATGATTTTAAATTGAATAATAAATAATAAAAATCTTCAATTTTATTGATATTTTATTAGCGATATCGAATTTATCAAAAAAGCCACTTTTCGTCAGAATGATCGCAGTTAAGATAAATGCAGGGAAAGATAGTCCGTGGTCTGATCTCTTATAAACAACAAAACTTTTTACTCAGCACCTCGTTTTTTTCCAAAAATTTTTGAAGATTTCCGTCATCTCCTATTCGAAACATAAGCTGTTTTCAATCATGTATTCCAGAATTCTCAAGGGAGCTTCATTGCAGCCAATAGGTTTTCTGTTTGCAAGAGTATAAAAAACTGTTATGCCTATGAGAGCTCATTTTTTTAATGAAACTTTGTTATGCTTATATTGAAAAGCATTTTATAATTAGAGCACCGTTTTTTTTTGAGAGTGTTTCGAATAATTGAACTTGTCAGGCTTTTTCTCCTCTTGAAAGATAAGAGTTTCTAAAAAAGGACTCTCATAGATACTGCATTCTGGCATGCTCTTTTAAACAAAACAAAAAAAAGATTAAATATATAGACTAAAGACTACAGAAAATTTTTGGAAACGAAATGAGCTATTTTTTTATCCTTGTTTGGTGGATATCTCCTTCATGGGCCATAATACAGGGCTGAAAATTTTACCATAGCCTCCCTACTACAGTCCCAACATATCCTGAAAATTTTATGTGATTTCAGTGAATCTGGCCTGAGATCGATTTTTGAAGGGGGGGGGGGGGAGATCTTAAAGTCGAATACTACGCAATTGATTCTTTTGACAAAGATGCGTCCTTTGCATTAAAAAACTGCAAAATTACAACGTTTTCTGTCAGATATCGATTACATTTAAAATATTTATTTAGGTGTTAAAGATGAGCAAAAATAATAATAGAGCAACGAAGAAAGGCAAGTGAAAACGAATACATCATAATCGATGTTTTTGTGAATAGTACTCGATATTAAAATATTCAACTTTCCATCAATCGAATATCGAGAAGAAAATCTCGAACCAATGTTTAATATAACTAAAATGCTATCTAATGTTTCTGTTAAATTGAGTAAAATTATAAGAGTGATACTTTTGCTCTACGCATAGTCCAGTTGTTTAGATACAAAGTCCAATTAAATTTCAAGCATTTACATTGGTTCGTGCTAAATATTTTATTCAGGACAGCAACAGGAGTTGACAATTGACTACAAAATATATATAATCGGCCAATACAATTCTAATATTAAGAAACATCAGATACCTTATGTCAGGATTCAAGTATATCATGGAATGATTCGTTCTAAAGCTGATTCTAGGAGTTCCTTTTCAACAACTAGAATCATCAAAGAGGAAAACACTAATTACTTGTGAAAAAAACCTATACAAAAAAGTATTGATACTCGCGAACAACCTGTCGCAGTTTGCCCCATAAGCGATTCCAACAAAACTAATGACGAGTTCATAGAGAATTCGACTAGCTCTGTCAATACTATATACCACTCAACGAACTCGACCCATCTATTTATGAGGAAATTCATAATTAGTCTGTCGCTATTAGGAAGCTTGTAGAGAAAATTCTCCATTAGGTCATTTGTTTTAGTGAATAGAAGTAAAGGAATGAAAGATCGCTGTCTTTTTTTACCCCTGTTGATACATACACATATATACGAAAGGACCAAAGAAGACCTATTGCATGGTTTATTGTAGTCAACGAGCATAAGAGAATCATCACTTTGTCGTTGTACCGTTCGCATATAGTGTGTGAGCAGGAAAGGAAATAGAGTCCATTGGCTTAGAACATAAATAAGAGAAAGAAATAGAGATAACTTCGTTGCTGACAACAGGAGCATGCTTGCAATCGTATATTTAAACACAAGAAAGAAAGAAATTGTATTGAGTCGTAGTTTTTTTTATCTATATATATATAAGTGAACGAAAGATGATGTTCATTCTTATCAAATAGGAACGCTCGATCAATCTGAATGTTCACATTAGTATTCAAAAATATCTATTTAAAATAATCTCATACAGAAAAGTAGATGATAAGAAAAGAAAAAGTATCTGAAAGTGTTGAGTTTGAAAAAAATTATAAATTCAAAGCGTAATTAGAGATTTTCTCATTGATTGATTAGTATAGTCACGATAGTTACATATTGAATTGATAAACCCAGTCGAGTTCTGTCTAGGATTATGAAACATTTTCTTTTTGAAATCTTTTGCGTATAGCGAATCCCGAGGAGTTCTAATAAAATTAATAAAGAATAAGGAACTAACTACGTAGGTATGATCGATGAGTAAAATCGAGCAAGTGATATATGGAATCGATAGAGCTCATTGCATTCTTTCGGCAGGAATTGCAGCGATCTATGTGTTGAAATCAGAATAATCTCATAGAAAAAATTAGGATATTGTAAAATCTATTTTATTATTTCTGTACGAGATCAATTCTATATATAAGTGGATAGAGTAATGCATAATTCATGATATTTATTTCTCTAACAGTTACTCACGCCACACTTATTCTCCAATGACAGTTCTTAAAAACTTTATTGACAAAAAAAATAACATATAATATATTATATTTAACTGTAAACATTACCTTCATTCTTTTGCTTTGCGTTGAGATCTCTCCCCATTTGCGTTGCTTCGAATTAAATTTTTTAAAAATTGCTGTAAAATTCTGTTGAAATTGATCTATGTTGTTCAACTGATATTGTCTCTTTTGTCTATAAGACTTAAAAATAGTTTTAGTAAAGTAACGAGTACAACTTTCAAAATTGCCATATATCCAAGGAA